GAGCCTGGCCAAGAGGGCGATAGTAAGAGACCAGATAAACTGGAACTTCGAAGATCCAACCGTTACACAGACTGCAATATTGACAGTAACCCATTCCACCAACCAATGGAAGACTTGTGCTTAGAAGGAACAGTCACGAAGGAAGGCGATATGGTTCTTTTTGTGGCAGAAGACTTGGAAACAAAAATTAAGATGTCTAGTCCTGTGACGAAGAAAGGAGATACGCCCCCATTTCCAGGGTCCCGGATTTCAACACCATGCTTGTACAGACAAGCATTAATGCCCCAGTTACCGATCATTGATCCGAATGTTCTAAATGATTTGGAAATGGAGGTCCGAAGAGTTGCTACTTCTGTGGACACATTGACGGAGAACCTGGCTGGCATTCTTCGCAGTGTGTCGGCCCTCACAGTGGAGTGCCTGGAAGTGTACCGCGATGCAGTGTGTAAGACGTGTGATGCTGTGGATTCCAATATAAAATCAATGTATCAACTTATGGCAAAGTGCGAGGAATTGAGCAAGTCAATGAAACCAATATACAAACTGGCAGAGCAAATCAAGGGTATAAAGCGATTACTTGATCTTTTCGAAAATGCGATGAACGTTTGAGTAACCCCTTTGATTATAGTCATTAATGTAAATACAAAATTGGGGATCAGTCACCCGAATATCTGTTGGCCATCGTACCAAATCCAAGCATGGTAGCAGAAGGTGACGAATATGAAGTGTATAGGAACTGAAGTGTTGGTAACACAAGAACTTGCAATTGCTGCTAAAGGTGACTATTCTAGTTATAAGCTACAATGTTTTCTTCTGTGTCAAATGTGTTCAGCATCATTAATGCCTGTAAATCTGGTGTTTGTAGATTTAAATATTTATGCAAAGGCAGCTTGGACATAAGTGTACTGCAAGGACCAATTTTGCTTCAAGATTCATTTTAGGCTATTATTCATTATCTGTTGCTGGATTTCCATTCAGTGGCATATCTTAACAGTTTGGAATAGTTCATAGGAGGAATTTACCACTACATACTGACCAATTTTCAGTGATCAGAAGGTGAGGCGGGCAGGTTGTTTTATATTCATTCTAAAACATATTCTTTGAGATAAAAGTGAGGTTAGCACTGAAAAAGCGCACCTGAAGTTCCTCTCAGCTCAAGGGGTACGCAAGGTTCACGAACGTTTCTGCAAGGTCTTTTCAAGTATGGAAGAAGGAGATAGAAGTATCAATATGTGTTTACTGTTCATGATGTTAGTTTGTATTAATATTCTTCTGTTGTCTCTAGGGCATACAGTAGCGTAGGTGGTTGAGGCATTATGGGTGAAGCTGGAAGATCATGGGTTCGATTCCTGATTCCTTCCAGCCATACTATGGCCCTGGGGTCAACTCAACCTCTAACAAAAATGAGTACCAGGAAGCTTCCTGGAGTACAAAGGGTGGCTGGTGCGTAAGGCTGACAACCTCACTACCATCTGTGAGTCGATTGCACCCTCAGCGTGTCACAACCCTATGGGCCTCCATGGCATGTTACAGGGATACCTTTACCTTATGTTAATTTTGTCATTGTATATGTTCAGGTGATGTGGGGAGACAGCATTGCTACCATTTAAAGCACAGTGGTAACGACATGTACAGGTTTTAACATTAAAGCTCTGAACTTTGCCTACACATTGTATGTATTTTGTATAATCCTCAACAATGAATAGAGCAGAGATCATTTCATTGTGTTAATCAGTAGTGTACCAAGTACACTTTGAAATAACTTCTGTCACATTTGTAAGCTTCTGTTGACCTGACATCCCATCCAGGGAGGGCTATATATAGTTTGAGTTGTGATAACAAGGAGTGTAATGTTTACATTTTGTCTGTAGTTCCTATTCAAAGTGCAAACTAATTATCTAGTCATGTATAGAGGGTCAGATGTTGGAATCTGTACATGTTTGGTATGTACACATACAGGAGGATGTTCATCTCACACTGTAATCATTTTCTTGCTTCTTGAGGTCTGTGGCTGACCACTCTTTGTGATATATTGCAGTCATGTGGTAGGGTGGAACCAGCATCTAATAAACAGGAATTCTGTAATAATATTTTCAGTTTACTTTTGATTTCAGTGGGCCATTCTGTTGAAAAGTCCTTTACTCCTCTACAGTGGCGGCTCGTAGCTAAAATTAGTGGGGTTGCTGCTCCAGAAAATTTGTAGCCTTTGTTCTAAAATTGTATAAAAGGAAACAAACATGTATAAAAAGAAAATTTATTCAGAAACTTGATAAAATCCTAAAAGAACAAAATCAAACATTTTTACTTACTTTAACCTAAATTGTTACAGTTCAAGCTTAATCTATTCATTTAAAAATGAAATCCATTCTTTTTAACCTTTATATTATGCTCATTGATTGAAAGTCTGTATGCCTCACTAAGTTTCTCCTTAATACTTACGGTTCCTAAAAGTGACAGTGAAACTACATTATCAACGTGCTTCTTTGACTTCTCATGCTTTTCAGTTTTTTCTTTCATTTTGTTTATATTTCTAAAACCATCTTTTGTCCACGTTACATCACCCCCAAACAGCAAACACGGGAAGCAAAACAGTGCATTTTTTACTTCACAGCCGCAAAGCCAACTTTTCTGTTTGTACCATTCAGAATTAAAGCTACGAATATATTTCTAGTTCTTGCTTATGCCTGGCTGAGATATTAGAATATCAGGTGTTAAACGACCTCTTTTCTTAACTGCAACTTTCTCATGGAGAGACAGTTGTGAAAACTGAAGCTGTTGAAGTTCACTTACAGTCACAGAACTTATTTCTCAGGGATGCAAGGCCATGGTTAAAGTTTTCTGTTAAATAAAAGAACCGAAAAAAATAATCAAATAGAATAGCTGGAAGCAGGATAATAATCTAATTCTACAATTAACTCATAGTTTTTAAGCACAACACACGCGGAGTAAAAAAAAACTACCTTCCACCAGCACGCCAGGTTTGGCACCGGTCGGCACTGTCGTTCCTGCAGTGCTCCCTCTCCCTTGCAGCCTCGCGTGTAGCTTCCTATGTGCGCATGTGCACAACAGACAACAGTCAACAAACACCTTGCCGCTGGAACTGTGAAGCGCACAGTTTCATAGAAAGATTTGGCTACTAACATTAAGCTTAAGGATTATATATTGTATTGTACAAGTATAAAGAAAGAATTAAAGAAAAAAGGACTCGTTATATAAATGTTATCGATAATACCAAGTGGAAATTGGGGGTGCTGCAGTTCCGCAGTGCCTACACGCGGGCCGCCCCTGCTCCTCTATATCCTTGCATGGGAGGGACAGTCGTGTTGTCTTGCTCATTGCTACCACTACCTTATGTCTGCAGAATCTGAACGGTGAACATTTTCAAGCACTATGTTGGATTTTGAAAAGCTATTCCCTCCTTGAACCTTAACCCAACAAACACTGATATAATAATTTTCATACCTCAATGTCCTTGTCTTGCAATTACATTTTTTATAAATGTAAATTGTACTGTGGTCTTGTGTGTTATGACACCATAGTTTTGTATGTAGTTAGGAATGTTTGAATTAGAAGTCCACCCTGAAGGTGGAGGCAAGAAGTTCCTCCAGAGTGTTTATAGCTTTCTACCAGACTACACGGCACATTCCAGAAGGCAGTTAATTGTCATATACATATATATCAATTACGTTAACTGTTGCAACAAATATACTTGTTGGTGAAGTTAGTGCCGACTTTAGCAGATAGTGGGTGTTGCGTGGTCATCGCAACGGATCCCCACAGCCGTTAATTTTGGTTTTCAAGACCAGAGCCGCCATTTCTTTGAAATAGCTCTTCAGTTATCCTCACGAGGCTGAGTGGACCCTATTCCAGACCCACTACTTCTCAGAAAATCTGGTAGCACTGGGAATCAAACCTGGACCTCTGGATCTGTAGCCAGGAACTCTGACCACTGGACCACAAAGGTGGACTTTATTACTATTGCATTCTGAAAATAATATCTTTAGGGTGATGACTCGAGCATCTGTGTTACTGTTTTAGATACAGTACGAGGAGGTACCCAAAAGAAACCGAACTTATTTCTTTTAAACTTATTTATTCAAATTTTAAGCACAAACCTTCAATCCCCTTCAAAGTACTCTCCACTTACACTAATACACTTGTCTAGTCTTTTATTCCATTTTTCAAAACATTGTCTAAATTCATCTTTTGAGATGCTTGACAGTGCCTCCGTCGTTTTTTCCTTCACCTCAGCAACATCAGCAAAACGCTTTCCTTTCATGTCTCTCTTCATTCGAGGAAACAAAAAAAAGTTTTGATCATTTTGGGACTCTTCTTTCAAAGCACAGCATGCTTCCACGTGACCTTGTTTTTGTTCAGCAGTCAGCAGTCGTGGCACGAATTTCGCAGCCACCCTTTTCATTCCCAAATCTTCTGTCAAAATTCGCTGAACTGAGCTCCAAGTCACTCCCGACAGCTCCACAATTTCTTCAATGGTCCGTCGTCGATCTTCCTTGATGATTTCACGAATTTTTTCAACATTTTCATGTGCTCGGGCCGTGGAAGGACGACCAGAACGAGGTTTGTCATCAATTGACATTTCACCATTTTTGAAACGGGAAAACCACTCAAACACTTGAGTTTTCCCCATAGCATCGTCCTTGTACGCCGTTTTTATCATTTCAAGAGTTTCTGTTCCACTTTTCCTGAGCAAAAAGCAGAATTTCACCGCTGCACGTGTTCACGAAAATCAGCCATTGCAAAAACGACGATCACACAAAACAGTTGTCACTATAAACTTTGCCGAAACTAGTCCTTACCTTCTGAAGCAACGGTAGTCGGCTTATCAACTCAGGAATGTTAGCTCTATGCGCTCATAGCGGCAAAACGCGATACTACAAAAGCTCTGGCCACAAAAAAATTATTTCAGTTTCTTTTGGGTACTCCATCATGTGTAGGTTAGGTTTGCAAAGTTTTTGTTATACCAGCTTTTCTGTATTTAGGAACCACCCTGACTGATGAAACACGAGAAGTCACATGGAATGTAAATCTAAACAGATATCTTCTGATGAGGGTTCAGTGCTTGACAGTGTCACAGGTATGTATCCCACGAAAAATGACCATTCAAATGAAAGCCGTTCGTAGCCCTGCACAATCACTGGACTGGGGACATGCCGCAGGGACCCATTGGTTGGTGCCTCGTTACTTACGGGGACCTTTTAATTTGCTTTACTCTTTCACACAGAGGAACCCTGAATGAGTTCCATTTGAACAGTCACACATATGGTTGTGTGTCAGTTTTATAATTTTCGTCTTTGTACAGATATTATTTCAGTATTATGAAATTCATAGGTACCTAAAATCTTCTTTATGGAGCAGACGTGATTATGGTTAGGAGTAGTTGGCTGAAGGTTACCAGGAGCCAGGATATCACTTAGTACAGGTGCAAGGCTACAGGCTTGAAATCAAGGACTCGGAGTTCCAAGCTGGGTTACAAGAATTTCCCTTCCCTATAGTGCCTAGACCAGGTGTGGGACCCTACCGGCCTCCTGTGGGTACTGTGCGTTTTCCCCAGTAGTAAAGCTTCCAGGATGTGAATTCAACCACGCAACTGCCTCTGGTGTAGAGGTTAGGAAATGGAGAACCCAAAAAGTGTTTGGACATGTAAATAAAAGGAAATGCACAAGACACCCTCAGATCAGGGTGGGAAAAACTGGCTGGGTAAGATGCCCCGCAGACAGACAGAATATCGAAGGATGAAACAGAAAACTTGGTTTCCAGTGGAGATATCTGAATAAAGGGGAGGGTAGTTCTGCACTTAATATTTAATCTGAATTAACTTGCTGTAGTAAGCATGGGTGCCAATGAGTGGAGGGTGGGGGGTGCAGTAGCCTCAGTATTGAAAGTGTCATTAAATAACCCACAGAAACAATGAAATGCTATTGGGCTGTATGATCCTCACATTTGATAGCATTGCTATTTTTGAACATGAGAGAATGCTGTGGGAGAAATCCAGTTGATGTAGAACCAGAGACCTTCTGTGTCTTACCTCTACAGTACCACAACCCTATTGTTTAAGAGTACAAGGATTGTTCAAATGAAACCCATTTGTGCTATTCATGAAGATGTCGGGGGGCCATGATGGGTGCATAATACCAGCATCCTCTTGGGCAGTTCTATGGAGAGGGGATCCACCGCCTGATGCCATCAGTAGGACATCTGCCTCTATACACCCTCATGAATGGCCTCAAATTGAACCTTCCCCAAATGTGATTCATTTGAGTAACCCTCATAAACATCATTTCATGAGTGAAAATTTTCCTCCCATTCGTAATCATTCAGGTGTTTGAAAAGGGCTATCTTCTGGGACATGCCTGAACATCAACAGGATGACACTAAAGAAATCTGTTCTCCAAGTGACGGAACCGTGGGGCAGTGGACACTTGGCTTCCTTCGGCGAGAGAAAATAGAAGGAACATGAACCAATTTGGTTTAAAAATTTAACAAAAGAAAAATCTTTTTTAGACATGCTAACTGTAATAAATATTTCAACATGTTGGTATAAGCTGCTGTAGTTCTTAAAAACATTAGATTTTTCATTTTATTATGATGACATTGTATGTATATATTAATATTCACAGAACATATTGTAATAGTGGTTTCTAATTGTATTGATATCTTTCTGAAAATGGTCTATAGGACCAAAACATGTAAAGGATAAGAGATTAAAACGAAAAAACTTCATCAGTCACACTGGACAGAATTAATTAACCTTTTGTAATAGTCTCTTGTAAGTTTGCCCATTTCAGGGCCAGCATTAACTACTCTTCCCCGTGCTTCTGTTGGTCCTCAGAGCTCCTTCACATGCCATTCTGAGAACCAAGTTTTCATTTCATGTCATGCTGTGCTTGTTGCTGTTTCACTCTGAAGATAAGGGCATTACAGTCCCCTGAAACGTCTGTAAACTATCCCAGAAGATTGTGCTCTTCATAATCATTACTGTAAGAACTGCAAAGCCACTTTTGAGGTTTTGTGTCAGATTTTCCTTGGTGAAGGGGCGATTAAGGGCGAAGAGCATATTATCCAAGTGGAGTCAGGTGGAAGAGCTGGGAAAATGAGCATGCCCATTGCACGCCTGCAGAGAGGCACCATTGAAAACTTCCCCCTGAAAGTCATGTTTTCGGATTCACCAGTCAGATTCCAGCTGATCAAAGGGTCTGGTCCCGTACATGTGATAGCAACTCACACATTTGGTAAGTTGGCTCTCATGAGAAATTAGATTCTCGTGGGATTAAACATGTTATATCCACACTTTATCCCCCCCCCAATAACGTGACAGATTTTCACAGAGGCCACTGTAGCAGTGCATTTTCAAATTATTTGATATCAGTAATGTCAACATGACAGCCATGTGAGAGCAAGAGTAGTATCAGTTTATTGTAAAATCATAAATTTTAAAATAGTTTTTCAAAAGCAATACATTACTTCTGTTAAGGGAACTTCTTTTGTAAAATGACAGCTGTTGAAAATCCTCATTAGGTTACTGCTTGGTGACAATTTAACTGCTGTGAGTATCTACATCAAATTTTGTGTGGAGATTGCCCATGAGCATATATAAATGAATGCTGAAGGAATGCCCTATGTCAGTGGGTTAGTATCCTCCAGCGAAGATAAGGGGAGGCAGTTATTTACATGTAGTTGCATGTACTGTACAAGCTAAAAACATGAACAACATTTGCATATGACTGTGTTGAAAAATTTAAGCGGAGGTGGATTAGAATACCTGCACCATAGCCCTGTGAGATGTAGAAGGCAATACAAAAGGGAACCCAGTGCTTGGGGGGTATAACTGGGCCACCCTATCATTTGGGGGCCATAAATACAGAGATCTGGCCCTCTAGATGGGGGGGGTGGGTTCAACATAAGGCTGATGACTTTGCTCTGTAAAAAAATTTATTGTTGCAAAATCAAATCTGGCAGTCATTTAAGGAATGCTATGGCTCAAAATGGCTGTTTTGCCAATGGTGGTGTATCCCTAAGTGCCTTGCCCTCTCTTCTCTGGCGAACACAGCTTGCTGAGATAACTGCTTGCTTATGTTTTACTCTGTCGGATGATTCTTGTATTCTTTAATGATAGCTTTCCAACTGTGTTGAATGGTAGGGTGATACAGACAATGTCAGGAGGTGACAATTTTTAATCTTAGCCAGGACATCAACTAACCTGACGTAAGTTCATGTATTTCTTCAGTCCCCCTCAGGTAGATGCTGGGAGAGTACCCACAGCTATGCTATGGCTGCGTCCTTCTGCCATCCTACCCAGTATCACTCTGCCATTTGATGCTGTATTGCTTGATATTCTGAGGGTACTTAAAGAAACAGCAAATAAAGAAGAGATGGGTAAGGATATGGAAGGAATCAATCATGACTTTTTAACCATTCATCTCTTCTGTTTCCTTCCTGAGAAGCCAATAGTTGCTGAGCTACTCATATTTCCAGGATTTTGTAGGGCTTGAAGTTTTATTTCCATGTTCACAAGCTTCCATCAGTGGTCCCTGTCCTAAGCTTAATGAATCCAATCCACACCTTCACATTGTGTTTAATGTCTGTTCTGATATTAACTCCTCATCTGTAATCCTGTCTTCCAAGTTTTCTTGTTCTTTCAGGTTTTCCTATCAAAAATTTGTATGCATATTCCATTCTTGTTACATATGCTCCCCGGTTCATTGTTCTAATAGCATTTGGTAAAGAATACGAATTATGAAGCACCACATCAGGCGGTTTTGTTTGGCATTGCATGTGATGTGTGACCTGTCACTGAATGTGTTACAGATCTTGACAAAGAGTTGAATAGTGAGTTTGTGGAAGAAGAATCGGAAACGCAGGATGAAGCTGAGGCAGAGACAGAACCAGATTCATATTCAGATGGAGTAAGAAACACGAGTTGGATATCAAGACTTTAATTTGTGCTTTTCTTTTTTTGGAGCTGGGAGAGTGCAGTTGATATGAGGACAGGCTATGGGCTGGACGGCTGTGGGGTTGCATTTTGAGTACCAGTAGGAGCAAGATTTTTCTTCCCTGTGTTCTCCAAGCCGGTTCTGGGGCCAACCCAGCCTCCTACCCAGTGGGTAATGGGGGGTCTTTCCCCAGGCGTAAAGCAACTGGAGCGTGAAGCTGACCACTCACCTCCGTCTAGTGCCAAGGTTCAGAGTACATGGGTCTATACATCCACTGCCCCATACATCTTCATAGCACAGTGCTTAATTAGTTAAGCACAGGGACAACTTTATATTTCTTTTACTTTTTTATTTTTCCATGTAGTGTATACAGTGAACTCAATTGTGTCATGTGTTCCATATTCATAGCCACTTTCCAGCACTTGACAAAATGCGTTAACTTGGACATACACACCAAAAGTGTTCAGGCAAATTAAATTTTTGTGTGTAATGGTTGGTTATACTCAAACACTTCCCCTTCCATTTCATTTATATCAGACATCATGTAATTCACAACATTCTATGTCAACACATTCTTCTTATATTAATAACACAGAAAAACTGAGAAATCTTCAGTCTTGTAGCATACTGGACTGACCAACAGGAGAAGACTTGCCCTTATTGAGCATGAAAATCAAAATGCAGACCAGGGATCCTTTATTATTAAAGAAATAATAGCTTTTGTCTGAAGGAGTGAAGGACATAATTTCAATACCGTCTTTAGGCACAAATGCAGGGAGATTATTGGAAGTTGAGCTGAAGCATGGCCTTTCCTGCTGTGTGTGAACACTGTTGACCTAATGCTGGATTCACGCAGGAAGAAGTCGCTTTCCTTCTAAACTTCAGTTTCTTCATTTAAATGAGACTCCTCCTCTAAAGTAAGGTGAAGGGAAAGTTGCTGAAGACATATGGGGGAGTGGAGGTATAGCTCCACTCTTGATCTTGGCACTAAATGGCAGTGGGTGGTCAGCTTCACACCCAAACCACTTTACACCTGGAGAAAGTGCTCCTTCATATTTGTTAGGAAGTTGCTTGTGCCCCACAGCCAGTCTGGATGCTGTGGAGTAGCAAAAGATCTCTGGTCCATGCTGGGAATTGATCCCCGGCCATCCAGCCTGAAACCCATCACTATACTGACTGAGCTAATCTTTTAAAATTCTTGCTACATTGTAGTGTGATAATCAAACTGAAACTGTGATAGCTCAGTCAGTAAAATTTCTAGGCTGCAGGCTGGATGACAAAGTAAATTGGAGTTAATATTTGATGGGCAGAGTATTTTGTTGTCTCCTCTGTGTCCAAAGTGACTGTGGGGCCCACCCAAACTTCTTTCACTGGGTACCAAGACTCTTCTTTGGGTGTAATGCAGCTGGGGTCTGGGACCCACCATCCAGCCTCCATGTAGTGCCAATGTTAAGAATGGGAAGAGCTCTACCAGGCATGTCCAACGCGTCGAGGCCTATAAGGAAATTATACGTGAAAAGCATGTAAATTCACTTGTAATATAATATGATTATATTCAGATTTTGAAGGGGAAAATGCATATTAGTCATTCATATTTTTCTGTACTTTCAGTGTATGTTTTATGTTGTATCTATGTTGTTTTACAACAAACATCTTGTGTTGTGTTATTTTAACCAATATTTTTGCTTAAAGCGAGGTATGATGATAGGAGGGGGTGGTAGATCACTGGCAGTTTTGACAGTGAAAAGTCGATCACAACCTGTTTGACGTTGGACACTCCTGAGCTATACCAACACTCCCATATGTTTATGGCGTGATGCTTAATCATAGCGCCAGATTTACCTGTATAGTGTGATAACAAGGAAAGTCGCATATGCCAGGCAAGAACAGGTTCTTTTGTTTGTTGATATTATTGGAAGTTAAATGCATATCACTTTATAACAGGGGTCTCCATCCAGTGAGGCAGATTCTGTTCCTGAGAAGAAGAAACGCAGGGTTTCAGATGTGAAGACTAAGGTAGGGTGACTCCTGCACAGTAATCCCAGAGTCTTGTTTGTATAGCCAACGATTCCAAAGGACTCTGCTGATGGTATTTTATTTCCACTAACTGCTGATTTCTTGAAGTGTGCCTGTTGTGTGACATTCTGCTTGTAACTTTTTGGAAGCTGGATCTGTTCCATAGGGCTTGGGCTGTCCAGTGATTGGGTTCAGTTCTTTGTGTCAGACTGGATAGAGTGGATCCCCCACTGCACTACCTGCAGACAGGAACAGGTCCATCTTGCACAGTGTTATGTTCTTGATTAAGGGATGTTAGGACAATGAACACAAAGTGCATGAAAGTAGTAAAGCTGAATTAGTCTTGTACAAGACAGTGACTTTTATGAATCCCAGTACGAATGGCATAGCACTGGATTTTCATAAGTTGCATAACACAAGGATTACAGAGTTCCACGATTATGACAAGAATCCTTTTTTTTTTTTCTATTCCAGCTCATAATGTAAAACACACAAAACTCCTAATGGCACATTTTTGCAGCTTGTTAAGTTTACTTTTATCCACTTTACTTGGGGTAAATGATATTTTGAGAGTCACAAAAATGTTCTTGCTGCATAAGCAAAGGGTCCATTTAAGGCCTTGAAAAGTGGCCTTTGATATGGATCAGTATGGTTGAAATTAGAATTGCCCAGCAAGTTTAATGAAAGTATTCTATATCACATTTTACAAATTGTCCAGTATTTTTGGTTCTGTAGTAGGTTTACAGATGAAGGGACATAACCTACACATAAGATATTATTTCATAAAGAATGCCTGGAAATGCAGAAAAGGATACGTACATGCCACTAATATGTTGTATAATATTCTGAGCTTCAGCAGTACTGTAATGTTGTATCACTTGTAGGGAGATGAACCAGAGAAGCGAAAGAAAATGAAGAAACCAAAAGGAAAAAAGAAAGATAAAACTCCATCTCAAGGGAAGAGCAAGAATTAGTTACAAATGATGATTCTTCTTGCATCTGGCATGCACTGTAATGGATGACATACACAGTAAAGTTTGGTGAGAAGTAATTACTGCGCCCTATTGTGGATATTGTGGATTTAGAAGATCCAGGGAATTGTTAAACAGACTTTGGATTCTTGCTGATAATGCAGATTGTGGATGTGTCATCATAATTAACTTCTTAACCACCTCCTCCCCCTATTCCGTGTTTCTGCTTTGTGTGGTTCAATGGATCAATTTTGTCATGTTCTTCCATACTTTATTATTTTATTTTTTGTTGTCTGTGCAATATGTAGGAATCTTAACACATAGTACAAAGGTTTTTATGTAGATGTTGATGCCAATTGTACTATACAAGATATTTTCCTGGACATTACGCACTTCCAGGTGACATCAGGGAAGCAAACTGAAATGTATTACTCAGGTCCGGCTATGCATTGTGTGTCTTCATAATTCAGTTTGCAGAGTAATGTATGTTGAGATCATATTGGGAACATATTACTGCCCGTTTTTCTTGAATATGCAATTTATCTTAATATAATTAAATTCAGTTCACAAAACATCACATAAATTGTTAATATATATATATCTCACATTTTAAAATTGGTAGGAATTTTTCAAACCCTTGAGCAATAACACTTGCTTTGTAGTACCACAGTCACAAGCACATGAATGTGAATGCAGACTCTTTCCAAGAAATGAAATGGCTAATCTTAAATACAGACCAACATGTTCTGAAAGCAAATGTATGTCATAAGTGAAGCAAATTTACAGAATGGCATATACTTATTCTCTTCATTCAAATTCCATATGAATATGGATGTATGTATATCCTTCCAAAATGGTGGATGATAATTGCCAGTGGTAAAGTGACATAGTACTATTTGAGAATGCTAGTGCGTTGCATATTTTTTTGTGCATTATAGTGTTTGTGTGTGCAACCAGGATTTGCTTGTAATCTGTAATATCTGATTGGTGAATGTAATGTCCTGGCGGCGCAGGGGGGCATGGAGGTATCCCTCCCGCTGCTGCCGNTGCATGTTACCATGTTGAGGTTGCAGTGTTTCCTGACCTTGAACTTTGTCTTTCCAAATTTGTTATTAAGTTAATACTGCCTATAAGCCATATGTCAAGTGCATCATTTTAGTGAAATGTGTTCATTGTTGTCATAGTTGAAATATTCCTTTACTTTGTTCTAATTCTAGTTCATGTTCAATTATATGTCGCAGTTTGTATAGACAACTTTTAATACATACAATTTATAACAATGTGAATAGATAAAAAGATGAACATGAAATCTGTGAGTTCATTATTGAACGAATTATATAAAAATATCCTTAGTTATGGATCCCCTCCATGTGTGATATGTGAAGTCTGTTGTGTTGTTTTATGGAAATGATAATTTGATGGACAGTGATATTTAATTTACCCTTATCTTCCCCTCCACATCTCTGCTGGCCAAGATGTTTCTTTCCTTCTATTTATGCAAATAAACTCTGTCTTATACTTCTCATCTCATGTGCATGCTACTGATCCACACATCTGATCCTTGTTGAGTGTATCATCCTGACTGTGCTGAACGGGAGTACAAATTCTGAAATTCTTTATTATGAAATTGCCTCAGTGCTTCTGTTGCTCTCTCCTTCTGAACTCCATGTATTTCCCTCAGTACCATGTTAAATACCCACTATATTATTCTCTTAATATCAGGAACCAAGTTTCACACAAAACAAGCAAAATTATAGTTTTGTATTTTCTAATCCTTGTTCACTTTCATTCTGTGCTACAGTAAGTAGTTTTTAGGCCCCGATGAATTGCTAGGCAAGTACAGACCTATTCTAGTACTGCCATCACCAAGAATAGTAATGATAAGAAGATGGATGATATAACTCCATTTATTTAAGGGCTGAAAATAACAAGAAAGCAAATACAGGCAACCATCCTCTATAAGCAGAACAAGTGTGGTTATCCATGAATGGTTCCCTGAAAATGGCTGCAAAATCTGCCTCCGAAAAGCAAATTGATGAATCTGATTAAGTGAGAAGATTTTATTACAGTCAATGTGACAGCTTCAAATCTTGAGGTTCAGATCAAGATGAGTGTAGATCCTGTCTTTAGCAAACCGCTCAATTCTATTGCATGTGCACTCGGCAGTAAACACCGCAAAGGAGATGAAGTAGCCAATGAGAAGCTGGTAGAAGGCTACACTCAGATGAGAGGCTGTGAACACAAAGAACTCTCCGTCATTCTCGTCTCTTTCACTGCTGTCCTGTTGAGCCCTTGCTATGCCCTGTAAAGTCACATTCCATAGAACTTGAGACCAGTATCTGTTTACAAGCCCTGATTCTAGAATCTGCTGAATCCATGAATTAAAGCGATCCAGAAGAGGATTTCCTTTTGAAATGTACATAGAAAACTTTGATGTCACAACGATCTCGGGGATGGTACACAAATATTTGTTCTTGTCTTCAGTTTTACCAACTGTAGCAAGTATATATTCAAACTGAAACTTAGATGACACTGTTGTCATGTTTTTATTTCTTACAAGCTGAACCACACATTCATCTATAATAGAACAGGAATCTGTTGACAGTTCTAATCTCAAATACTCCCAGTATCCTGAGATATTAACAAAACTTAACATCCTTTCATCAGTGACTAGCTTTAGCCCTGAGCTTACAAGTTCTTCGAAGGTCTCGACTCTCTTCCCATATCCTGGGTTGACAAGAAAAGAGATGAAAAACACCTGGAATACAGTGGTCATTGCAAATGAATACCAAACGTAAAGTAAAAACATGTTTCTTAATCGGAGAGTTGTGGGCAGCTTTGGCACTGAAACTCCCAGGAAAACAGCCCACACAATGTAGAAGTTATAATGAAAGGTCTGAAAAACTTTAGGGTCTCTCCAAGATGCAGAGGAAGGAGCAAGAGCTGTTTGCCAAAAAGCAAGAGCTGTTAGAACGAACACTGCAAGAACAGATATCCAAACAGAGGACGTGAAGACAGCCATGATCTTCTCCACACGAGGTGCTGGCTTGGCACATGGGACCCACCATCTCATAGTGAGTTCAAAGTAAGGCCTTATTGGGTCACCTACTCTGACAAGAAGCAGATGCAGGGGGTGAACTCCCACGGTGATATCCACCAGTCCCTGTGCTATTTCTATAAATGTCTCAAGCCGTATCTGTACAAAATCCCCAACTCGTGGTTCCAGGAATATTGGTGTAATATTCATAGCTTTGGTTAAAAGCAAAACATACTCAATTTCTAAACCCTCGTATGTGTACGTTGTGTCACCATGTGAGTCTCCATGGATATTTTTTAGTGTTACAAAAGGGATTCGTTCAACTGGAGCAATGACAAAAGGACAGCCTTGGAAGTTTTTGGGAACTTTTGAAGGGAATAAATTTATTTTACTGCGGAAGCTTCCATTACCTTTCAGCATCCACTGGTCAAGCAACTCAACTTCCTTGACTTTACCACACTGACTAGGATCATATGGAAATGAAGTGTATACATTAATTATATCAGATTCACAATTTGAACAAATTTTATGGAGGGTTGTGTTGGTTGTTGGTAACATGATGACAACGTTAATGATTTTGAAAGGGTCCCACATTGTTTCTATCATCTTGAGGGTATACAACTGAGGTAACTGAATATTGTAGTCCATTACAACAAGAAGAAATTTTGCCTGGTGATTGAAAGAATTCTTGTAAAGCTGTAATGTATCTATCTGCAATTGGAGAGAGTCAGAAGTGTTTTTATCTTCTTCTGGCCACAAGATTATGATGTAACTTTGATGTTTATATGGTATGTCACTGTTCTGCACGGGTTTATTGGACTGAACACTGAGAACGTGCCACTCTGATGGTTCATGTAGATTGTGGAACATGTCAGTGACGAAATTAACTTCGCTATTTCGAGGGAACAGTTCACCTTCAGTGACAGCACGAACTGAGCTTGGATAAGACATAACTACGGGTTTTCCTGGTGCGAAGTAGTGGCGTGCAATGTGTGAAGCACACAGTGCCAAATGATGCTGCATATCTTGGTGCGTCGCAAACAACTTTCCAAATGTTAACAGCATTAGGATTCTGTACATACTCAAGTACCTGAAAGTAGATATTGATATAGATTAGGTCCTTATATCAGGACAGATACAGTGACTACACTATGGGTTGGACTGTAGGTGAATCAGGGTTAGATTCCTGGCAGAGGCAAGAGGGCAAGGGACTGTTATATTTCTCACAGTGTGAAGACCAGCTCTGGTGTCAACCTGTCCTCATATCCAGTAAGTACTGGATACCCTTTCCCAAAGATTAGAAGGACCGGTGCGTGATGCCAACCACTCACATATAGTACCGAGGATAAGAATGCGTGGCCATATACCTCCACTCCCCCATACGTTGTGGTGCGGCGCTTAATTAAGCACAGCAACAACTTTCCCATAAATTGTAACACACAACCCAAAAAGACGAAAGATATGGCGTCCAAAGATAAGATTGAAGGACCAGGGTACTCATCAAGAGGACCGAACAGGCAAAACATCGCCTAATCCTTGAAGACGATGGTGATAGCCTTCCCATATCCTTTGTAGACTGGACTATCGGGTTTCTTTCATCGCGAAACTTGGGGCCGGGGTGGCCGCTTCATACTGACTGGCAATGTTGTCGGATATCTAGCCTTATATCCCTACCGTCTAACTGAGTGCTGAAGGCGGATGGCAGTTTCCCCCCATGTTATATACCGGCGGTGAGGGATGGCATGAATTTCGGATCTGCCACCATCCGTCTTAGCCCTTTAAACGCTACCTTTTTTCAAAATAGTATATAAAAATTCATCACTTCGTACCTCACAGGAAACTCATTACGTCTCCTCTGCAAAGCCCAACCGTTTAATGCTGTTTAGGGAAACAGTCGCTGTTTATTGTGAGAACCATACGGAACACACAGATACACTCAATGGGCAGAATGCAGAGTTCTGTGTGTTGAAACACTTTCTAATACTGGTATTTACTGTGCGAATGACAAAGTTTGTACAGTTTACCTAGTATAATAATATACTTTCTAAAATTCCACCTTCAAGATCAATGCACTTTGCAACTCGTGTGAGGACATGACGTTTTGCTCGTCTGTACAGTTACTGTATACTGAAATAGCTCTATTTCATTGACCTTTCCTTCTAGGACATGCCGTACGAACCAAGCACAGCATAAACTATCTCGCAGGAAAAATTCTACGAATTTGGTAGAGCACTTAAGACCCAACCCATTAGCTTGTTGTATTCCAGGAAATCGGACCCTTCTGTGGTAAGTTTCTGCGAGTAACGGTACGCTTATGCAGAGGTCGAATCATTGCTATAGAATGTGATGAATTGGTTTCAGATTTCTCTCTACTGGGATATATCGCCGTGTAGTCCCTTGAAATTCAGCCAACTTTTCGGAAGAACATATCAACTCCATCTTCAGGGCCGAAGAGTAAACCAAACAAGAAACCAACACAAACTTCATGCTTGACGCTGGTTTCGTGCTTGGTTTATTCTTCGACCCCGAAAATATAGGCTATATGTTCGTTCGAAACGTCAAGTTCATTTTCAACGGGCTGCACTCTGTTATATCCCAGAAGATAACTTTCGTTGCAAAATACACTGCTTGGGCAAAATGTACAGTTTCTAAATTAAAGCAGATATACATATACGCGCCAGGGATAACCGGTATAGCGACAGGCTACGGGCTGGACCACCCAGGTTCGATTCTCTGCAGGCAACATTTTTCTCTTCTCCACGTCGTCCTGACCGTCTCCGAGGAACCCACCCAGCCTCCTATCCGGTTGATACCGGGGGTAATTTTCGGAGGGGGGGTAAAGCGTCCGGGGCGTGAAGCTGACCACTCACCTACATCTAGTGCAGAGGCCAAGAATGGTGGAGCTATACCTCCACTCCCACATACGTCTTCATGGCATACTGCTTAATCAATTAAGGACCCAAACAGCTTTGCCTTTTATTAATATTCATTTCTACTGCTATTTCCCTCGTTATCTACCCAAATACAAACCTGTCTTTGCTAGAATTCACTTTATCCTCGAATCTGAAGTGTTAGCATGTGTCTACACGAACCTACGGTAGCTCCACTCTCTATACTGTCATTCTTCCACTTGCTGTGATGTATTCAGGCCAATCGTGTACCTCAGAGGACGCTGATAATTGAGTTTGGAGCTTTGGTGAATTGATGATTATGTGGTAAAGCCGAAGTAACTCGGAAAAATACCTGCTTCAGTGCCAGTTCGTTCACGACGAATGTCTCATGAAATCACCCAGGATGTAACCCAGGTTTCCGCGGTTAGAATCCAGCTCGTAACAGCCTGAGCTGTGTGGCTGCCTACCCTGCTTATAGGGCCATTAAAATTCTGTTGGTGGGCACTACACAAATGTTCCGGCTGCCCTTAATGTAATTCTAATGTACTGAGTATGTCCCTATCTCCAGCATATCTGATGCACATTTCTGTAACACAATTGTGGTCATCAGCGCGCAGGCTGTAACTAAAAAACATGCAAGCGTAATCATCTCTACACGATGGCATCGTTATCAGAAGTATGCGTCGCGAGGTGCTTTGTTCGAATCTCATACGCTACACTGGCTGTGCTTAGCAATTGACTTCATTGTATTCCTCCGCTTCCATGAGTTTGTTGCTGGGTTAGTACCCCGGTTTCATGACGCCGATTCCTTTAAGATCTTTCCGAATTCATCGTTCATCATCTCACAAATTGACACTGCACGTACAACTCAGATACTCACAGCGTCGTTGAATACACCGCCCACCCACAACACACATAAATATACATGTTCATAAGTGTATAATCTACTCTATATTTAATATGTTTCATTAGGAAGAGGGTATACCAACGGGCTGTGAAGCCGAGGTTCGATTCCTGACAAAGAAATAAGATTATACTCTTCTCCATAATATTCAGACTGGTTCTGGTGCCCACCCAACCTCCTATCGAAGTAATACCGAGGACTCGTCCCATGGGGCATAGCGGCCAGAGTAAGCTGTTGACCACTCACTTCCAAATAGTACTCGTATATAGGTCTCGAATATTGGAGCCATACTTCCACTCCCCCATACATTTCTCGTCATGACATTTTAATATATTAAAATTAAGAAGAGGTAAAGTTGTCGTGTAATTATTTAATTAAGCACCAGGGCATGAAGACGTGTGGGGGAGTGGGAGTATAGCTACACCATTCTTGACCTCGGCACTAGTTTTAGGTGGGTGGTCACCCAGGATGCTTTACCCCCAGGGAAAAGCCCCGCAATTACCCATTGGATAGAGGGTTTGGTGGGCCTCAGAGCCGGTCTAGATGCTAGCAAGAAGAGAGAAATATCGCTTTTATGGTATGCATCCTGTTGTCTATCATGCGAAAGGTATATACTGAGCCAGTCTACATAAGAACGGTTCCGAAAAGTATAAAATAGGCACTTCTGTGTCAACATTTGTTCTGTTAGCTGTCGGTTGTAACGCCACACGTTTCGACTCTTTTCTTGGGTCATCTTCAGGTGTACAAGAATACTGGTACTTGTTCCTGAATTTCGTCATTAATCAATATGAATTCATACTGTGTTTGTATGATTTTTTATGCTAACACATACATTTTATTTTAAATGTAATTCACATGTAGTTACAAGTTATAAATACTTTTAAACGCTATTTTAATTCTACTTTTAATTTTATTGTCAAATTTTAACGTTGCCAAATCCCAGAAGACTGCTTTCTTCATAGTCACCGCCGTGAAAGCCACAAATCTTACAACTTTACCCTTAACATGCGCTCCACCGTTTGAAAACCCATATGACGAGAAAAGCTTACTGCGCAGACGCAAGGAACACTGACGTACGTTTTGGAATCAGTTACAATTAAACTGTTCTGCGAACGAGATAAATTTTGTTGTTATACGTTTACGTACAAGTAAGCATGTATAAGAATATACTCTGTGTTTTGGCTGTGGTATTCCTTTCATTTATACTGCTAACATAGAATGAGTGACACATTATTATGTGTGTCGTATATCGAGCGGGCTCCATGTTCTTGGAAATAACAAGATTTCTTAAGCAGGTTAAACACTGTCTATACATAGTTTACGATCTTAAGTTAATTTAAATAAGAATACATGCATGTAATAATTTAGGGGTGTAACGTGTTTCATCTTCGCATGGTCAATTACATCCGGTAAATTAGAATAATTCGCATTAGAGCTAGGGCTTATCCCTTATCACTATTGTAAACATTGGGATCTAAAGTGACTTGTATGTAATGATGTCAGAAATTATTTATGTTACAGTCTGTTGAAGTCATGTTGAACTTTCAGAGGTGAAAATATGAGTTTTGCTTAACGCTTGTAAAATTGCGAGCTTTATAGCCAACTTGGGTGTAATGCCCTGTACTATGGTAGGTACCATCCTTCTTCTGGATCGTTGAAATCAGTTTATATTACAACACAGTGTTGTATCATTTTAATATTTACCTTAACCAGTTGTTAGACACTAAAATATATTGATATTCAGAATTAGACATAGTACTTGAGTTTTAGTTACTGATGGAATTGAGATAGTTAGCTGAAAGGCGACTGTCAGCAGGCTGGACAACCGGGGTTCCATTCCTGGCAGGAGATATTGCAGGGTAGATTCACTTGCAGGCGACCCTAAGTGATTAAAACAATGTGACATCGTCTGTAACCCATGTATCTTCACATCCACCATGGTATGTATATATATGCTAAGTTTATCTTCATCAGTAAATTGCTGTGTGGTTTATGATTATTAATTTGGGGCCTCCCCTAAGTGAATCACCATAATTTTATCTGTGGCTCAGTGTAATTGGTGTTTGTATATTAATGCAGGGGCCTCTCCTGAGTGAATCACCATAATTTTATCTGTGGCTCAGTATGATTGGTATTGGTATAGTCAGCAGTGGAGAGCAAAGGAAGCATTTGTTTTATCTGAGGGTAATGTGATGTTTAACCTTGTGCATGAGTCTCATAACATTTCAGTGACATAGGAAGTTATTTGTGAACTCTTAGTAAGTACTAGGGAATGAGGTGGAATTATTGGTATGAGGCACTAGAGATAGGTACCTCCAACTATTGTAATATAATTTATGATTATGTAAATTTAAGTAGATTCTAAAGGGTTCTGATGGTTGTGTATAACACTCATAATTACTGCGGTATTGGACTTTGTCCTTTATCCTTGATTCCATTTTGGAAACTGATCTGTTTCCATCCCCAGGTGAGGGGGGAGACACCTATTCTGTTGGCTCCTTAGGAAGTGCCAATGTCATAACTGGGCAACCCATGACAATTTTCATATGCCTTTCTATCTTAGTTTCATGTCTGTGCATGCCGTATCACAATTTTTATTGTATGTTTTCATGCTGTCTCCCGTTGACAAAGTCTGGTGTCAGGTATGACATGGGCTGTTCAGTGATATAGGTTAGCTCTTTCTAAGGGACACAACACATTGATTGATTGATTGATTTATTTATTTCGTCACTGTAGATCATTGTACATGATATATGACAAGTCAAGTTAATTCTGAATATTAACAGTTTGATATATAAGTAGATTAAAATTACAATAGTTACAATTTTTTACTGCTGATTACAATTTAGAATTAGTTAGATATTCTTATTTGTGGAGAATTTGATGGAATGAACACAGTAGGTGTGATCCCCCTCACCTGAGAACGGAAACAGATCCAGTTTCCGAAATGTTGTGTTCTCTAGTTTTTAGAATACCAGACAATGGACAAAGTCAAGAACCCCAGTAATTCTGAATGTACATATAAGTTTTGTGTGTTTGGAATATACTTTGAAAACTCAATTTTATTTATCTTATGGGAGTAGTATGGATCAGAGGGGAAAGTCTTAAGATTAAATGTAATTTTTAAAAATATCTTGAGCTTTCAGGTTAATAGAGCCAACTTAGAAACAGTGCTCAGGGAGGATGGTGTGAATATTCCCAGTGAAGTAAGTGGACATGTGGAAGAGATGAGTGAACAGCAGGATAATACTGATACTAGTCCACTTACAGAGTTTGTGAAAGTTGAAATGACATTTGATGACATGTCAGAGTATGCAGTGGAAGAGAACGCTGATGTAAATTTAACATTAGCTGAATATGTAAAGGTTGAGTTGAGTGTAGATGATGAACATAATTCAGGCAGCAAAGAGACATCTGTGAAGATGGAGAAAAGTGAATGTAAGGAGAATAATTTGTGTGCTGGTCAACTATGTAAAGATATGCTGGGAGCTACTGAATCAGAACAGATTAATACAGGTAACATTCTCAAAGGAATAGCACATGCGGAATCTTCAGTAGATCTACAGGATAAGGAAGAAATTGGGTGAGTTTTAGGGTGAATAATTTAAAGGTATCTGATTTTGTATGAAAGTGTTTATCACTTGCACAAAATCTCTGGGTTTGTAGGTTTTCATGTACCTGGTCCTAGGCCATTGTCCCTGTCAAATACATTACCAGACGTCTGCCTTTAGAACAAGAATAGCACTCCTGAAAAGTGACATCTTGTTTCTAGTACCATTCCATTCAACCATTATTTTATAGTATTGCTTGTAATCACAGTCAGATATACCACCCTTTGAAAAGGATCTGCTGTTTTTGAATGTTGGTACTTGTTGGCAAGAGCATACTTCCAGATCTTTTGATCTGATTTATCTCAACCTCTTCATGTATCACCATGGGTGGGGGTACATATTGTCAAGGAATGTATGTAGCATACTGCAAGTCTGAGGGTGAGTAGATTTTGTTAAGTGAGTAAGCTGTGTTATAATTATAGAGACTAAGCCTGGGAGCCTCGATGTCTTACAATCCTCTAGACCTCCATGACCTGTTACAGGGATACCGTTACCTACCTTTTACCTATTCATTCACATATATTATCAGTAGGGGCAACACTTTAAACTTCGTGTCCAAATGGGATGTGATGTTTAATTATGTGTGATTGATTGTGGCATTGCCTTCAGATTAAGAATTGGATGTAGAATGGAACCTGCAAGTTGGAAAATGTATTCTGATAAATTGAATACATGTGTTTACTAATAACCTGATTTACTTAGCATTTAAATTGTAATTTCAGGAGCTTCCAAACTTCTGTGGATACTTGTACTTCATCAGCAACTACAACCCACAAACATGAGTCAGATTGGAGAGAAACTGATAAACACACAGTTGAATATGCTAAGAAATACGCTGCCAGCCTAATGGCTGATCCATCCCGCAAGTTGAAGAGGTGCAGCGCAAGTCTTCCAAGGATTGACAAACACAAAGAGCCGACTGAAGACACAGATAAATGTCCATTTATATGCCAAGAGTGTGGCAAGTGTTTTAAGAAAATCAAACTTCTTAGAGAACATTCTCTTATGCATACAAATGGACAATCTTATGAATGTGAAATTTGTTTTAAAACTTTTACACAAGCCAGGTATCTTAAACAGCATCGCCGTACACATACAAGACAACGTTATGAGTGCAAGAATTGTGGCAAATCATTTTTACGTATCGGATATCTGGAACAGCATGCTCATTGTCACACGGGAGAAAAACGTTACGAGTGTAAGGTCTGTGGGAAGAAATTTAAAGACTTCAGTAACCACAAACGACATCTGTACATTCATACTGGCGAGCGGCCCTTTGAATGCCATGTATGTGGGAAGGGCTTTACTCAAGTGTTCAACTTGAAGCAACATTTACTGATCCATTCAGGATTACGACCTCATGAATGTGAAATATGTGGGAAGAGTTTTACCCAGTTTCACAGTCTTAGGTTACACTCTCTAATTCATACAGGAGAGCGACCTCATGAGTGTAATGTATGTGGAATGCATTTTAGAGTGGCAAGAAGTCTCAAGAGACATTCTCTTGTTCATACTGGAGAACATCCATATAAATGTAAGAATTGTGGTAAAGGATTCACACAATATAGCATTTTGAAGACGCATTCACTTATTCACACCAGGGTCCGCCCCCACAAATGTGAAGTTTGTGGTAAGGATTTTACAGTGACCAGGAGTCTGAACAGACATTTACTGACTCACAGAACATAGATTTTATGTATTTGCTGTAAACATAAGTTACATTCATGATGGTAAGTGTTGGTGTATGCATAAATGTACAAATTATATCTTTTTTTCTCTCTCACCTGAGCTAAGTCCAGCTGTACAGACAGTTTTCCTTTCAAAGTCAGAAATATTTGTATCTGCAGGACTCCATGTAATGTGTTGTGTCATATGGGATTAATAAAATTTGTGTATTAAGGTAAGGTAAAGTTGTCATGCCATAAAGGCGTATGTGGGAGTGAATGTATAAATCCACATTTTCTTGACCTTTGCACTAGTTGGACATGAGTGGTCAGCTTCATGCTCCAGGGAAAGAGCCCCTGGTACGCATTGGATAGGGTGGGTGGACCCCAGAGCCAGCCTGGACAACGTGGAGAAGTGAAAATTCTTATTCGTAACAGCACAAAATAAACATCAGACTTGTTTTTGTAAAGTACTTGCACATCCCATAGTACAGCTTATTGTCTTTTCCTCTTCTTAAAAGATTAAAATGTTAGCTGAGAATAATCAGTGACTTATGGTTACCTTCAGCCATGATGTAGAGTAATACCAGTTGAGTTAGTTTAAACTGATATTAAGAAATTAAGAAAAAAAGAAAATTTGGATTATGGTTTAGAATAATTATCATCTATTCCGCTGATCTTGAATAGACCATTGAACCTCAAAATAAATTGGGAGAACAAATCTGAAGTGTGTGATAATTAAATTGGAGCACCATATTTTGAAATTAAGGGCATAGGGTCATCGGTTCAGATCTCGGTCTAGAGATTATCTTAATAGTCTCAACTGTTTTCTTCAATCCTTCATGGAACATGCCAGCTAGGAGTTCATAGTAGATCAGAATCACTTCCATGTCATAACAGACTGTATCATTTCATACAGTATAAACTGAACTTTCAAAATCTTTGTTAAATACATCATAAGTAAATAACAGAGACTGGAGGTGTAAGTCAAACGACAACTTCTTCACTGAATTATACTATTTATATGAATTGATAGGAAGAAGTCACAGTTTGAAGTGTCTCTCTTAAGTGGAGAATAATATTAATGGTTGTATTTAATATGGTTGTCTCACATGTAAGGTGCACATCATGTTAAGCAAATTGTGTCATGTTTTTCCAGTTTCTGGTTTTCTGTGTTAGATCCCTTACCCAAATGAAACACTAGTTGGAAACCTATGTTGTCAGCCTGGCATTGTGATGTATGGAAAAAAAAGTGTTAAAATATAGATAAATATATTTGGTTAGAATAGTTTCATTTCTTCTTTAAAATTATTTGTAATGAGTGGGTACAAATCCGTAACACCTGTTAACCTTAAATTTCCTTGTAGTTCCCATGCATTTAGTACAGTAGTTTTATGATGATCATGTCTGCTGCTTAAGGAACCATGTGTACAGGATTTGGAGCATGAGCAAAACAAACATTCTCACCTGTTTCCCAAGTGAAAGTACTCATTCCTTACTCTTCCGCTGAATACATGGTACAGTGTTCAGTTAATTACGATATTGGTTCGAGGCCAACTGATTTTATTATCCACATCTCAGTGGTAACACAGTCACTAGTTTGCAAATAAATACAGTACATTTTTTCTTTGTTCTGTGAACAGTCTGGCAAGACATAAAGCATGG